TTCCCTGGTCTGATGAGACTTGATTTCTGTTGAGACATTCAGATGGTAGAGTCAGAATTTGGCGTAAACAGAATGAGAACATGGATCCATCATGCCTTGTTACCACTGTGCAGGCTGGTGGTGGTGGTGTAATGGTGTGGGGGATGTTTTCTTGGCACACTTTAGTGCCAATTGGGCATCGTTTAAATGCCACGGCCGACCTGAGCATTGTTTCTGACCATGTCCATCCCTTTATGGCCACCATACCCATCCTCTGATGCTCGAATCATCTCAAATTGGTTTCTTGAGGTTTAGGTTTCACTGTACTAAAATGGCCCCCACAGTCAGTCACCAGATCTCAACCCAATAGAGCATCTTTGGGATGTGGTGGAACGGGAGCTTCATGCCCTGGATGTGCATCCCACAAATCTCCATCAACTGCAAGATGCTATCCTATCAATATGGGCCAACATTTCTAAAGAATGCTTTCAGCACCTTGTTGAATCAATGCCACGTAGAATTAAGGCAGTTCTGATGGCGAAAGCAGGTCAAACACAGTATTAGTATGCTGTTCCTAATAATCTTTTAGAACAATTTATATTGTTTTTATGACAATTATTTTGAGTTTCAATGTGTTTTGGTTCACGTGTCTGTGTTTCCTTTCAGTTTAGGGTATGTTTGCATTGAGATAATTTTTTTTACATTCACACAGATCCATGAAAACTAATTAAAATGCTGTATTGTTCATGCCAGGCCAGTTTTGGCTGTGTCACTCTGTAAAGAAACACTATACGCCTATGGACTGAACATGTAATAAGCATGCACATGATTATCACAATTTTCACAAACTCTAGTCTCCACTTCTGCTTGTCAGCCTTTCAGTTCAAGGCCCCACCAGTTTCTTGGTCTTCCAGGCATCTCGCTACGTCCCAGCTTCAACCCCACGATCAAAACCAAATAATCCAAATGAAACTGACAACAAAGGAAAAGAAGGAAAAGAAAATTACACCAATTTCATGAAATGTTGTGTTTCATTTGCATTATTTGATTCTGATTCAGTCATGTGTTTGTAAGATTTACCCTAACCTGTTATATATGATCTAAATCTAAATTGGGTTGACTTGATGCTCTGAGGGTGAATTGAACATGAAACAGAATAGCAACTACACAAGCTGTTTTTAAACAGAACACCTAGGGTAAGCAACATACTTCAAAAACATAAATTATGTAATGAAAGAAAACAAACGTTTTTAGAGAAGCTAGTTAACGAAGAAAGGATGAGCAAGGGCGCTTCGTGGGCTGTGAAGAAGGGTTGTGGGGAAAGGGAGAATATGACATTCAGGTTTTATACTCTAATGAGAGATGTTCTGCTGAAAGGGCTTTTGTGAGTAGCTTTTTTCATGGAGCATAGTGGAGTGGAGATTCAATGTGCCTGGAAGAGGTCATCCTGCTGTTCCACATTCTCCCCGACTGTAATTACAAAGCAACACATGTTAGCTGGTCAGATTTTCCCTCACAGATCCTTGTCTGAGGGCAGAACTGAAACTGTGGCATTTCAATATGCCCCCACAACTGTGAAACTTGCCCTTTTCCTAATGGATACAGAAACACTGTGCGCTAATTGCTAGTTCAAACTCGGCTACTCTCTCAGCTTCTCCAGATTGAACAGAAGCTCAAGGCAACAGCGAGAACTTGTGCTCCTTCTTCACGCTGTTAAGTCCCGCTTAGGGAATGCATAATGAAGTTAAATTATGATTAAAACGATTTTTTTTTTTGCCGACCATGGGTTTATCTTTAACCTCACCATATTTGCTTAGTGTAGAGTGGATATCAAATTTATCACAGAAATATCTTCTTAAATTCACTGGCCATTATGTATGTCACTGGCCAGACTGATCTCATGAAGTAGCGTGTGTATGACACGCCAATTCGTATTTCCATTTTTGCCCGCTATCAAGACGCATAATCGCTTTTCATCGTGTTTATGGACGCCGTTGACTTAACGTTATATAAATATATGACTCGCTTACCTCAACCCCGTCCCTAAACCTAACCGTCACGGTGGTTAGTGGCATTTATGACTGGACATTTGACGGCGTGTACGGACACGCGGAATGACGCGAACGTTAATGGCGTAGACATACACGCGGATACACGCGGATAGCTCAAAATGCGTAGAGATAACACGCCACTTGACTCGAAAGTGGCGTGTATGTTTACGCAAAAGTCATGATGTCATGTTGCACTGGCCACATTTTGAGATATTAATAAGGTATCGTCTGAAGCACTAGGAGACACCCCCTCAGTAATGTATGCTGGGGATTACTCAGGAGAAATATCTGAGATTAATGTGAATCTAGAATTAATAAGACTATCTATTTAACATAATTTAGGAGAAAACTCCTATTTGAGTTTTCTTACCAATGGTGCGGTCGGAGCTGAATCTAATCATAGTGTTATCAGATAATCCGTATCATTCTTGTTTTGTTATTGTATATGTAAATCTGCCATGTTTAAAGCACTAAAACAGCTACACAGTGACGGCTTGGGAAAAGGAAATCCATGAATTAAAGCCAATGACAACCCCGAGAGTGCAAATTAAAACGGAGAGCTCCGGAAAAGCACGACCTACATTGCTCTGCTCATAATCTGCAGATTTTTTTTTTTTCATTTCCACCTGGCAGATTGCCAAGGCGAGGATTTTGCTGGAAGCAATTTGATCCAAAACAGAGGACTGGAGAAAAAAGAAAAAAGAAAAAAAAGCCATTTATGTCTATACAAGGCTTGTGTGGATTCAAACAAAGCAGCGCAGCATCTCACATCCGTTATGAGAAGAGAATCAACACAATGACTTCCGAGAAAACCCATCGTCTGTGTGATCTGAGAAGTGATGCGGCAGATAACAAGGATTGTCTAGACATGTTCAGAATAGAGACACCTCACATGGTCCACAAAACAGTTTTATTACAGGTTGTTCCTGGGCTCCGGTAATCACTACGTTAGACTTTACCAAAGAACAACAACACCTACTACAGCAATGTCGGCTATCAAAGTGACAGCCCAGTTTGAGACTGGTAGATGGTGATATACTTTATGATACGAGGCGATACAGAAATTTAAATGCATGCTAAATTCATGGAACCAACAACGGGTTGAAGGTCCAAATTGCAGCTTCGAAGGACTCTACACGATCCCAGCCGAGGAATTATCTTACCTAGCGAAACGATTGGTAATTTTCTAAGAAAACAAATTATTTTTAACCACAAATGCTCGGCTTGACCGTCCCTCATTACGTAATAACGTTGGAAGGCGGTAACCTGACGTAGGTGGAAAATGTAGGGTATAGGGCAAAAAAATTTTTGGTTTTATAAAGGGCGTTTGACTTAGTCTTTGCACGTTCTCTTTGTAAACACTGGGTCGGTACTTCCGCCTACGTCAATTGTGACCATTCAACGTGATTATGTGGTCGTGTAGAAGCCCTTTGAAGCTGCATTGAAACTGACATTTGGACTTTCACGTTGGTTCACATTGAAGTCCCCTATATGGAGAAATATCCTATGTTTTTCCCAAAACTGTGAATGTCTTTTTGAAGGAAGAAAGAAAGACATGAATATCTTGGATGCCATGGGGGTGAGTGAATTATCAGGAAATTTCTCAATTCTCAATTCAATCTGAAGTGAACTAATCCTTTAATGTGTTCATTTAACCTCGTTATTGTCACGTTTCAGTGTTTTCAGTTCAGTTTTGATCTTGTTTCCCCCGTCTTTGTGATTTTTGGTTCAGTCCTGTCAGTTTTTCCCGGTCTGTGTAATTAGTAATTCCCTTCACCTGTGTTCTGATAATTATCCCATTAGTCTCTGTTCATTTAAGCCGTGTATTCCCGTAGTGTTGGTTGATTGTCAGTGAATGGGTTTTTGACTTCCTGTGTTTTAATGAGTTCCTGCATTTTTCCTCTAACCTGAGTTTGTGAATAAACCAGTTACGTTGAAATTCTGTTCACTCGTCTTCAGAAACCAACACAACTGTGACGGTTTTATTGTTCAACCCTGTCACCCTAGTTTCAACCCAAACACATGACAGATTTGGATAAATAAAATGGGGAAACAATTAATTTTGAACTTAATGCTTGCTAAAGTCTGACTGATTACAGATTAGGTGCAATCTAATTTCGAAACAAAGGTATATTTTTATTTTTACGTATAAAAATGATGAGACCAATGATTCATTTAGTCGATAAAGTACTTTTTGTGAAGTTTTTTCATTTCTTAAACAACCATATAGAAAGACACATAATTGCCATATTCCAAGATGACAACTGGGAAGAGTCATAAAGAATCATTTTCACACATGAATCGACTCTAGACCTTATTTAAAGTCTTTGGGATGTGCTGAAGTAGACTTTATTGAGTGCTTGTCAATGCAAGATCTTGACCAACAACTGATGGACCTTTTGATGGATAGAAATGTTGTCATTTCCATCAAGAGGTGCATCAATTTTTGTCCGGGCAGTGTTTTTGTAGGCATGTCTTTAGTTTGGAGATTTTATTATTTATTTATTAAGAAACTGATACTTTTATTAACACTAGAAGTGCCAGAATTCCAAAACTACTAGAACGGCCACAAACGGTCATTTTGACCATTAGATTCAAAACAGTGTTGACGAATAATTTTTGTAATTATTTTCGTGCAAAATTCAGTGCGGTCAATATGACTGTCTATGGCCGAAATAGGTAAATATGTTCATTTTTTTTGTTTTGCCTTACGTTTGCGTAACTTAATTTATATGAAAATAATTTTAAATGAAAATACAGACAATTTTAGGAAAAGTCAGGTACCAGTAGGATTTTATTATTTTTTTCAACAAAGTTATTGTAGATATAAAATTCAAAACGGTCCAAATGACCGTTGTGGCCGTTCTAGTGTTATGCAAGGATGCATTAAAAGAATCCTAACGAATCACGGACAGTATGTGTGTTGAAACTGTAAAAGATTAAAATATTCCCAAAGGCAGAAATCTGATATGTGGTTTTCAGTTGCATTTATTGGGTGAAGAAGGACATTCAAATGTTCCTCTATGCTGAACAACATACCCAGGTTGCTCTGTATGTAAGAAAAGAGAGATTCAACATTAAATCACCTCTTACATTACAGTAGGTGTTGAACCCTTGAAAAACCCAGAAAGCACAATTGGTGCTCAGAAAAGGCCATTCATTTTTGGACAAAAATATCATGTTACATTCTGAAACAAAATTAGATCAGTTCATAAACAAGTCACTGCTTTGCCCTAATGCTGCCTTCAAGTCCTCCCGGGAAGTTTCAATGTGTGTGCGTTTGGAAATCGGTCAGAATAACATGGACACATTGGACTATTTGAAGTTTCTTTCTCTTTTTTGATTCCTGATAAACACAGGAAGCTAATGAAGGCACATGATGTGTCTAACTCCTGTGCCACAGAGAATGATGGGAATTTTGCATCATATGGGAATACATTACCCAAACTTCACCGCTATTCTTCACATCAAAATTATACACACGCAGTGCCGTCAACATTTACAATGATTTATCATGGCCAACATCAATTAGCTTCCACCATGATTCTTTAATTTTCACTGAAAATTAGGAGGTTCCCATTACGACATCATTATGTCATCACCTGCATATAATGATTTTATCAGGACCTGAAGGCAGCATACCAGATACAACTGCATTTACATAAGAGATTTTTGTTTCTCTAGGTACATTTATGACACAAAGTAGCAGTAGATTACATTCAAATGAAAGAAACCGAGTATTCAAAAGTGTTTTATATAATTCCAGTGCATTTCGATAGAGCAGTAGAGCTCTTGTAGCCCAAATACAAACACGTGTCGACAAGGGAAACACACTAATGCATTATTAGTGTCTATTGTGTGAGAACACCGCACCACAGTGAATTTCACAGACTTTGATCTGGCCTTTGTGCACAACAAGTTGGAAGATGAAATGAAAACATCCATGTAACAAGGCGAGACGAAGTGAGACCGACAGGCCCAGCGGTGCATTTAGATGTAAAAACACAGAAAAGATGCAGAGGACCACATTTACATAAAGTGTCCCATATATTGCACTGCTCTACTTCAACACAAATGTACAATTTGAAGAAGTCGTCATTTTTAGATCAAGCACAAAGAAAATCAGTAAAAAATCACACGAAAACATCTCCCGGTCAAAGCAGCCTGTTTTCAGGACCCCTTTTTTCTTTCTATTTTTATAATATTAAGCACATTTCCCATTTTCAGATGTTTACTTTTGATTATTTTTTTTTTAATTCTCATTCTCAAGGGTGATTCTCTTTGTTGGAATTATTTTAATACTGTTTTTATTTCAAGAAAATAATTGAAAAATGACTTTTTTACTCAAAAAAGTAAAAACCAAAATTCAAAAATCAAACAAATAAATGTAACAAATACTACCAGTGCTACATAAACAATTTACAAACACTTCACAGTATATATATATATATATATATATATATATATATAGCCATGGTTATGTTCTGTTATGGGGACTTTTATTTTGACAATCTGTTCGGTTTTAATTAGTTCCTGTTTCTTCGCTCTGTTTAGTTTCAGTTTCCTTGGTTACTGATTATTGGTGCGTTCAACGCCATGTTCACGCCATTATGAGATTCCAACTTGTAAAAAGCGAGACGTGAGGTCGGAGGTCTTTCTGCTTGCTGTAGTGACGCTCGTGTGGTTTTGAAGCGGATTAGATTAAATATTTCTCAAATACACAGACGTTTCAAGTGCTGTCATGTAGCAGCAGCAACACTTCCCACTCAGTACTTTGTGTACTGCTAAAAATTGTAAAAAAAAAAAAAAAAAAAAAAAAAAAGTAAAATTTTATTCCTTAAAACTCATCTTTGATTTCCTAAATGAGTAAAGTACCCAGAACCCACATGACTTCGAAGTACGCATTCAAAGAACCACGGGAAAGGATTTATGAATGTCAGTGAAGCTACGCAGGTATAAATACATTCATAACTAGATTACATTCATACTACATATGACATACTTTTTTTTTAGCAGCCATGAACTAATCAATAATTGAAAATAAGTACTTTAAGAGAGTATGCGATTTGGGAGGCAGCCCCAGTCCAAGGACGTGAACGTGTCATCATCTCAAAATTACGGTACTTCTGACATGGCGTGAACACAGCATGTGTCATATTTCGTATTGCTCTCATCTCTTTTAGTTTAGTTTCTTTGTTTGCCCAGTTTATTTATACCCACAGTTTAGTTTACACATGTACACATTGTGTGGTCCTTTGTTTCTGCTCTTTATCCTGTTTATTCCAAAGTTTTTTGGTTCATAAATAAAAATTTACACTGTGTCTTAACAGGACACGAGCAGTCCGACGCGACAAAAGCAAACAGAACAATTACAATTACAATCGGCGATGCTGTCTACACTGGATGCGGCACGATGAATCAAGACAAATTCCCAACATCAAACCGATATTCTGTTCTATTTCTGACATAATTCAGACAAAGCACTTATGCTTTATTGACATGAAAATAATTTTATAGTGCAAACAAATGTGCTTAATCAAATAAAAATGAAAGAGATATAACTTTCTAATGCAAAATAGAATTTCTCTTTTTTTGTTCTTTTCATTTGGTAAGGAAAGATGGCCTTGACAGGTTTTTTTTGAAATTCACTCATTTGTAGCATCAGATTGTCAGATCAATCAAACTTCCCGATATTCATTCAAGTCAAGTGCTGTCAACCTCATTAGTGCCCATCAGTATTTCTGTTTCATCTCCACAGAAAATAGCCCCCCCTTCCAGTGCTTTGTGTGCGGGTCTAAACAGGTAATTTACAAAACCCCGACACAATAAAACATTATTAAAAAAGTATAACACATTCCCTGTACAGTTCTCATATAACGCTATGTTCCGAATGTCAAAACCCTTCACAAATATTTCAAAGACACCACATGTTAAATTTGTAATTCAGAATCAAACGAGCTTCATAAGGTGAAGCCCGTCCCGCAGTCAAATCAAAGAGCTGCGGGTCAGACTTTGGCAGATTTGCTACTTTAAGGTTTCTGGATGGCAGATCTGCTCAAAACGTCAGAAGATTTTAACTAATCTTTGGATTACAGATTCCGTCTGAGTGCCTCTCCGTATGGGCAAAGTCACAGACTAGCTCCTTCATTTATGTTTCATAAAGATCATGATGAAACTATGCAGTTTAATTTTTTTCCCCCAGTGGTTTGAAGGGCATTAGCATATAGCCTACATAACATGACAAAAGCTCAAAACAATAATGCCAACAAATCCACATTTCACTGTATATTTTAAAATACCCTTGACTTTGTGGAGAGAAAACGTTTTTTCGAAGGACGCAACACAGAGAAAAAGCCTTAATATATCAACAAGAAATGTTTGCTTCAGCTAGATTCGCAAATACTCTATTCTGACCTTGAATATGCACTGAATTTTTTTCCCTTTTTTTATTTTTCAGTCAGTCATTTTAGTCATTGGTCAGGCTGACAGCAAAGTCTCAACAAACATAAAGCAGAACAGAGGACGAAATAATCCATTATGTGAAAATATGTAAACATGTGCTTCTGTCTTTATCTCTCTGTAAGTTCGCAGAGCAATATCGGGATGTGTGTTACCTCTATAACGAGAACGCTTTCAAACCGACAGACGTGTCCTTAGGAATCAAAGAGACGGTCTTCACAAATCTCCAATGCTGCTTTTGTGGCACCGCCAAATACCTCCACGTTGGCATCGACCCACGGCACCACGTTGCCAGGCATGTAGGCTGAGCAGTTGGCCATCGCTGAGATGTCTATAGGACGCAGTACTCTGTCCCACATGTTGAAGTGGCTTAACTCTCCTACAAAAGCTTGAGTGGCATCAAATCTCCCACCTACGATGTCCTGTGGAATAACAGCACACTAGTCAAAAACAAGTAGTGATAAGTCAAACTGTTTAGCTAGATTTGGGAAAAAATATTTATAATTTACTTAGATTATTTGATTATTTTTATATACACATACTACCAATTCTGAATTTTAGGTTTGTTTTTGAAAGACATCTCTTCCAAGCTCTTACAAGCCAAAGTCTCTTTAAGACGAGTAATTTCACTCGGCGGCCATCTTTGAAAAACGTTTTACTGTCACTTTTGATCGCTTTAATGAGCCTTGCTGAATGAAAATGTCAATGCCTTTCAAAAAAGACAAAATCTTGAGACCCCAAAACTTCTGATCGGTAGTATTGTCTTTTATCTGTATGACAAGTGAAAAAATATGTAATGGTGCGTTCACATCGGACACGAAGAGCGCGTCAGGCGCGCGTGATTTCAAAGTCAAAGCAAAGACACGTTACGAGCGTAAAAAATTCCTGCGGCGCGAATGAGGTAGACGCGGTACACGCGAATACACCTCATTCGCGCGAAATTGAGCGTCTGGCGTCAAGCGCATTACGTATGAATGATTTAGTTAGTGCTATTTGTGCATTCACGCGTTTGACGCAAATTCGCGCACAACAAAGCAAATATTTTATCACTTAAAACTTTATTTCAATATATGATACATGTTCATTTTGTATTGAATGTTATTTATTCCATATCTACATTATATGAAATATTATTATAATGTAAAGACAACCAACATACGTATGTTACATGTGCATAAGTTCGTAAAAAAAAAAAAATAATGAGTATGCTACGTAAAATAATTGTTCAGGCAACTGGGACCCAGAAGCTCTTATCCAAACCCTAGCTTCTCTGTCTACTGTCTAATTAGGCTTATCCGTCTAATGCTAACTGACGGAACCTTATCGGGGACTACATTGAAATCCTCTTCATGGGAAATTTTGCTGAGACTTAAAGTAAGTTAAATTGTCTACATACTCTTAAAAAATCATGCATTCATGCAATCATGCAACACATTTGGTGTAATGGTACAGACATTTGAAACAAACACTACTCCAAACCAAAATCACTCGAGCAGTGACTGGTGAGCGGAAACTGAAAAAGCAGAATGGCGCTTGAGATGAATGATAAAAAACGCATTAAATTCAGAGGGTAAAATCCTGTAGATTTGCTATAACACATAGTTTGTTCAAGGCTTTCAGTCTGTGCATTTCTTGGCGATAGTCAAGGACTGATGCTTTGGCTGTAGTGGGACTATTTTTGTTGGTGGAGAAAAACAATACACGAAACTAACTGCATTTTTTAGAGTGTGTAGTTTAGTAGAATATGGAAAGTAATGCCAAGGACATAGGATAAATCCTCAGGGATTGATAATGGACTGCCAAAAGCAGGAAAAGTATAACAAATTAATTTTATGAATCATTTGATGATGTTTGGTATTAGTTGGTTGGTTTCACTCTAAAACATTCTTTTTTTGTGGAAAATTTACAGAAATCTGCATAATAATGTCAACATTAAAAAAAAAAAATGGAAACAAAAATATCTAAAAATGAACTTTTGCATGTAAGCAAACTGCCAAACCATAAGAACAATGAAGTGTATGGTATCACTTTACTACTAAAAATAACGGTGTTTTATAAACATGTTCTTCAAGAAATAAATGGTTATTTTAAGAACTTTCAGTAGCTATGTTTCCATGAACCTATTTTCAAAACCCGCTGAATGGAAACGCCTACAGTAAGTGCTAAAAAATGTAAAAACTGTGCATACAAAATATTTGCTCAATTGAGTCGCTCAAAATGAATTAAGTGAGATAATGACACTAAATTTGCAACATTGTCACTGTTATTGAACTGTGCTGAATCAACATTGCACTAACTTGATTAATGACAGCAGCACTGCTTATAGCTGAATTGAACTTGTGTCAGTGTTGCAAAGTTCATCAATTATTGAATATGTATTGAACTTTACTGAAACAACATTGAACAAATTGCACCGTATAATTATATTCTCTGAATTTAATTAGTTTCATTATTGATTCATTCTACAACATTCACAGTTATTTTCCTGTTTATTACTCTGAAGCTGCTTTGAAACATTCTACATAATCTGTACAATCTACAGCACTACATATAAAATAAAAATTAAAATGTGATGACCCATCTAAGAGTAATTTTCACTTTTAGTTATTTAGGTCACAGATTGTGCCTTTTCAAGTGCTGTTAAACACTGTGAATGCACTCAATTATCAGAGAAGTTCAGTGTAGGTGAGCAGCAGATTATGTGTCACATGTAGATTTTGTGTGCCTGCTATCTGTGTCACATGTAACACTTCTCTCAAGAAGTCCCCGAGCTCTCGGAGCTGCTGAGAGATGACATCTTCACATTATCGCGTGTGAAGACTTATTATTATCGTAGCATGTACGAGTCCCATCACGAGGGATCGGCTCTTTTACATCCTCAATCTCACCTGTTCTTGGCCCAGGATAATGACTCCTCCAGGTTTAATTGGGTGCCAGGGGGCCAAGTTCTCTCCGGTCCCTAGTCTCTCTCCATCCTGATAGGCCTCCCAGAAGCCATCTCTGGTTGTCCAGGTGATGCAGATGTGATGCCAGCGGCCGTCACTCACGGAGAGGGGGAGCTGAGCAACCTGTGACAGAACGGATGAAGTCATGGGAGTTATTACAATTGCAAACTGATCCTAAAAAGTGCATTTTCCAGAGCAGTAATTGTTCACTATGGATCAACGATGCCTTTCAAGGTTCTTATGCAGTAGGGTGTCCTTTGTGGTTGATAAAGTTGTTGACTATGTGGTTGACTATATTGAGTCCAACTCTCAAATCTCTTCAATATACTCGTCCCTAGATATAGCTTAGTCCATGCTTAAACGCAAGTCTATAGGTGCCTTCCAAACTGCGTACTTGTGCACTATTCTAAGTCATTTTGTAATATAAATAGTGCGAGTAGTGCGTTCACACTGAAAATTCTAAAAAAAGAAAAGTCCATTAAGTACCCGAATGATGCACTTATTTAATTGAAAAAACTATGATGTGTAAAAAGTCTAAAGTGTGGAACGGTGGACACTTCATTCACTCAGCTGTCGCAACTTCAATTAGAAAGGGGAAACGGCTATCAGATTCCGATGTTGAAAAACAAAATAAACGTATAAAGTTCATACACTACACTGTAGTGAGACCAGTGAGTCTGGTCTCGGACTCAATACCGGTCTCGAGACTGATTTCTGCTTTCTCCGACTCGTCCCTGATTTGTTCCTTCAAAGACTCGGCCTTGACTCGCACTCGACCCTTCAAAGACTCGGACTCGACTGTATTTGAAAACCAACGGACTCTGTCTCGACCCTTCAAAGACTCGGTCTTGACTCGCACTCGACCCTTCAAAGACTCGGACTCGACTTTATTTGAAAACCAATGGACTCGGTCTCGACTCAGACTCGACCCTTCAAAGACTCAGTCTTGACTCGGACTCGACTTTATTTGAAAACCAATGGACTCGGTCTCGACTCGGACTCGACCCTTCAAAGACTCAGTCTCGACTTTATTTGAAAACCAATGGACTCGGTCTCGACTCGGACTCGACCCTTCAAAGACTCAGTCTTGACTCGGACTCGACTGTATTTGAAAACCAACGGACTCGGTCTCGACCCTTCAAAGACTCGGTCTTGACTCGGACTCGACTGTATTTGAAAACCAATGGACTCGGTCTCGACTCGGACTCGACCCTTCAAAGACTCGGGCTTGACTCGGACTCGACTGTATTTGAAAACCACAGACTCGGTCTCGACTCGGACTCGACCCTTCAAACACTCAGTCTTGACTCATACTCGACTGTATTTGAAAACCAACGGACTCGGTCTCGACACGGACTCGACCCTTCAAAGACTCGGCCTTGACTCGGACTCGACTGTATTTTAAAACCAACGGACTCGGTCTCGACTCGGACTCGACCCTTCAAAGACTCAGTCTTGACGCAGACTCGACTGTATTTGAAAACCAACGGACTCGGTCTCGACTCGGACTCGACCCTTCAAAGACTCAGTCTTGACGCAGACTCGACTGTATTTGAAAACCAACGGACTCGGCCTCGACTCAGACTCGACCCTTCAAAGACTCGGTCTTGACTCGGACTCAACTGTATTTGAAAACCAACGGACTCGGCCTCGACTCGGACTCGACCCTTCAAAGACTCAGTCTTGACTCGGACTCGACTGTATTTGAAAACCAACGGACTCGGTCTCGACTCGGACTCGACCCTTCAAAGACTCGGTCTTGACTCGGACTTGACTGTATTTGAAAACCAACGGACTCGGTCTCGACCCTTCAAAGACTCGGTCTTGACTCGGACTCGACTGTATTTGAAAACCACGGACTCGGTCTCGACTCGGACCCGACCCTTCAAACACTCAGTCTTGACTCGGACTCGACTGTATTTGAAAACCAACGGACTCGGTCTCGACTCGGACTCGACCCTTCAAAGACTCAGTCTTGACGCGGACTCGACTGTATTTGAAAACCAACGGACTCGGTCTGGACTCGGACTCGACCCTTCAAAGACTCAGACTCGACTCGGACTCGACTGCATTTGAAAACCAACGGAATCGGTCTCGACTCGGACTCGACCCTTCAAAGACTCAGTCTTGACTCGGACTCGACTGTATTTGAAAACCAACGGACTCGGTCCCGACTCGGACTCGACCCTTCAAAGACTCGGCCTTGACTCGGACTCGACTGTATTTTAAAACCAACGGACTCGGTCTCGACTCGGACTCGACCCTTCAAACACTCAGTCTTGACTCGGACTCGACTGTATTTTAAAACCAACGGACTCGGTCTCGACTCGGACTCGACCCTTCAAAGACTCAGTCTTGACGCAGACTCGACTGTATTTGAAAACCAACGGACTCGGTCTCGACTCGGACTCGACCCTTCAAAGACTCAGTCTTGACGCAGACTCGACTGTATTTGAAAACCAACGGACTCGGTTTCGACTCAGACTCGACCCTTCAAAGACTCGGTCTTGACTCGGACTCGACTGTATTTGAAAACCAATAGACTCGGTCTCGACTCAGACTCGACCCTTCAAAGACTCGGTCTTAACTCGGACTCAACTGCATTTGAAAACCAACGGACTCAGTCTCGACTCGGACTCGACCCTTCAAAGACTCAGTCTTGACTCGGACTCGACTGTATTTGAAAACCAATGGACTTGGTCTCGACTCGAACTCGACCCTTCAAAGACTCGGTCTTGACTCAGACTCAACTGTATTTGAAAACCAACGGACTCGGTCTCGACTCAGACTCGACCCTTCAAAGACTCGGACTCGACGGTATTTGAAAACCAACAGACTCGGTCTCGACTCGGAGTCGACCCTTCAAAGACTCGTTCTTGACTCAGACTCCACTGTATTTGAAAACCAACGGACTCGGTCTCGACTCAGACTCGACCCTTCAAAGACTCGGTCTTGACTCGGACTCGACTGTATTTAAAAACCAACGGACTCGGTCTCGACCCTTCAAAGACTCGGTCTTGAGTCGGGCTCAACTGTATTTGAAAACCAACGGACTCGGTCTCGACTCGGACTCGACCCTTCAAAGACTCAGTCTTGACGCAGACTCGACTGTATTTGAAAACCAACGGACTCGGTCTCGACTCGGACTCGACCCTTCAAAGACTCAGTCTTGACGCGGACTCGACTGTATTTGAAAACCAACGGACTCGGCCTCGACTCAGACTCGACCCTTCAAAGACTCGGTCTTGACTCGGACTCAACTGTATTTGAAAACCAACGGACTCGGCCTCGACTCGGACTCGACCCTTCAAAGACTCAGTCTTGACTCGGACTCGACTGTATTTGAAAACCAACGGACTCGGTCTCGACTCGGACTCGACCCTTCAAAGACTCGGTCTTGACTCGGACTTGACTGTATTTGAAAACCAACGGACTCGGTCTCGACCCTTCAAAGACTCGGTCTTGACTCGGACTCGACTGTATTTGAAAACCACGGACTCGGTCTCGACTCGGACCCGACCCTTCAAACACTCAGTCTTGACTCGGACTCGACTGTATTTGAAAACCAACGGACTCGGTCTCGACTCGGACTCGACCCTTCAAAGACTCAGTCTTGACGCAGACTCGACTGTATTTGAAAACCAACGGACTCGGCCTCGACTCAGACTCGACCCTTCAAAGACTCGGTCTTGACTCGGACTCAACTATATTTGAAAACCAACGGACTCGGCCTCGACTCGGACTCGACCCTTCAAAGACTCAGTCTTGACTCGGACTCGACTGTATTTGAAAACCAACGGACTCGGTCTCGACTCGGACTCGACCCTTCAAAGACTCGGTCTTGACTCGGACTTGACTGTATTTGAAAACCAACGGACTCGGTCTCGACCCTTCAAAGACTCGGTCTTGACTCGGACTCGACTGTATTTGAAAACCACGGACTCGGTCTCGACTCGGACCCGACCCTTCAAACACTCAGTCTTGACTCGGACTCGACTGTATTTGAAAACCAACGGACTCGGTCTCGACTCGGACTCGACCCTTCAAAGACTCAGTCTTGACGCGGACTCGACTGTATTTGAAAACCAACGGACTCGGTCTGGACTCGGACTCGACCCTTCAAAGACTCAGACTCGACTCGGACTCGACTGCATTTGAAAACCAACGGACTCGGTCTCGACTCGGACTCGACCCTTCAAAGACTCAGTCTTGACGCAGACTCGACTGTATTTGAAAACCAACGGACTCGGCCTCGACTCAGACTCGGTCTTGACTCGGACTCAACTGTATTTGAAAACCAACGGACTCGGCCTCGACTCGGACTCGACCCTTCAAAGACTCAGTCTTGACTCGGACTCGACTGTATTTGAAAACCAACGGACTCGGTCTCGACTCGGACTCGACCCTTCAAAGACTCGGTCTTGACTCGGACTTGACTGTATTTGAAAACCAACGGACTCGGTCTCGACCCTTCAAAGACTCGGTCTTGACTCGGACTCGACTGTATTTGAAAACCACGGACTCGGTCTCGACTCGGACCCGACCCTTCAAACACTCAGTCTTGACTCGGACTCGACTGTATTTGAAAACCAACGGACTCGGTCTCGACTCGGACTCGACCCTTCAAAGACTCAGTCTTGACGCGGACTCGACTGTATTTGAAAACCAACGGACTCGGTCTGGACTCGGACTCGACCCTTCAAAGACTCAGACTCGACTCGGACTCGACTGCATTTGAAAACCAACGGAATCGGTCTCGACTCGGACTCGACCCTTCAAAGACTCAGTCTTGACTCGTACTCGACTGTATTTGAAAACCAACGGACTCGGTCCCGACTCGGACTCGACCCTTCAAAGACTCGGCCTTGACTCGGACTCGACTGTATTTTAAAACCAACGGACTCGGTCTCGACTCGGACTCGACCCTTCAAAGACTCAGTCTTGACGCAGACTCGACTGTATTTGAAAACCAACGGACTCGGTCTCGACTCGGACTCGACCCTTCAAAGACTCAGTCTTGACGCAGACTCGACTGTATTTGAAAACCAACGGACTCGGTTTCGACTCAGACTCGACCCTTCAAAGACTCGGACTCGACTCGGACTCGACTGTATTTGAAAACCAACAGACTCGGTCTCGACTCGGACTCGACCCTTCAAAGACTCGGTCTTGACACAGACTCGGCATAGGCAGTCTCGTCCCCATCACTACTACACTGTTGAGTGCACATAGTGTATGAGTCTGATTGCTTAGAACTGCAATATCACAGCTTTCCTCAACAAGGTGTTGCACATCAAAATGAATACACAGGTTTGTTCAAATCCAGCAGTTTCAATAGGAATCCACGCAATCTGGAATTATAGTATCAGGGATGAAAAAGTTCCACACGCAGATTCCGCAACAGGTTATTTTCTTGTTCATCAATATAAAGCTGATTTAAAACATTATGTATTATACACAGTGCCAAATGAAGAAATGTTACATAACTTGATTTGTCAATAGACAATGAACCTTTTTGACTAATGTGAACAGTGTGCTCAAATTGAATAAATATTATCAAATTTCTACTGAATGAAATTCAAAGATCAAGTAAAGCGGGGGACACACTTAACAACTAGCTGAAACATTCTGAGACTGAACTGAACACACTTACAGACTGTTTCCAAAGACTGCAGCAGATTTTAAACACCAACTGTAAACACCGCAAAGATCGGTCATAAGTATCAAATTACATTCATGATCAGTCTTTCAGCCGTTAAGTGTGTTCCCTGCTTCAGTAAAATCTATCATTGCTGCATACGGATTAAGTTACACACAACACAACTTGTATAATGTAAGCTTATAATGAGATGCGTAGCAACCACTATAGTATGCATTTTAAAAGTATTTTGGCTTAACACATTCATGAACGCCCTTCGGATTTCCTCGTGCACCATGCTATCTTCTTGTGGTTTTGCTTCTCTGCCATGGTCGTGATTTCTTCTACAGGGGGGTTAAAAAATAGGGTCCATTAAATGACTCTTTTCATCACTAGGTCAAGGACAAACTGCACATTGTACCCAGTTTCAGAAAGATGCGTGGTGCAATACAATTCCAAATTTAGGGGAGACAGAGGGAGGACCAGCCTCGAAAGAGTAAGGATATGGAGTGTCTCGATGAATCATCATAGCAAAGTTGTCCCTGAAGCTCAACAAACTTTAAAATAATTTATATATTCAAACTCCAAGCTAGACACACATTGAGTTTGACAATTACTGCACCTTGAGACCAAGGCTTTAATGCACTTAAGTGGAGAAGTATGCAAGTTTAGAAACAACATTCAGAGAGAAGTAAGGAAGCACTGAGGTGTGATATATTCACTGGAGTGAGAAAAAGCACTGAAGACACACTTGACAGGTAATCAGATTCAGCATGGCTGTATCTCACTCCATCCTCGGCACTTTCTTGTTCTTTCCTCCTTGACGTACACACTCACACACATGCATACACGCACACACTCAACATGTATAATGCATGTTGTGCCGGGGCAAAATGCCTCTCTCAATAAGCGAGATGCCAAACTGACACTTCCTGAGTGAGGTATCAGGGGAATTAGCAGGGCAGCAGAGCTCATTCGTTCTCTCAAGACCCTCAGGTTACACTCAACAAAAACCAGCACGACAATAACTCACAATCTCCTCCACAAGGATCTAGAGATACAGCATCCATGATTACTGAGACATGCTAACCTCATTTACCAATGAGATACTGGAAGCTAATTTTCCCCAAAGAAAAGCAGCTCAGTTTCATATTCTTGATTTAGAAGCACTGAGGACATATTTAATTCATTTATGTGTGCTTTAATGCTAAACTTTGAAATCATCAAGGGTCTTGTGCAACAACAGCCTCTAAAAAATAATCATCTAACATTTCAATTTGATTAAAAGTGCATTGGAAAACATTTTTTGCTAAAAAAAAATTAGGTGTGTGTATTCGTGTTCGAAACCATTCAGAGATAATTAAGGGTGTTTTTACGAAATGGCTTTGCCGCAAGTTGTATAAAAATGCATTTTAAAAAATATCTAAATCAATAATATCCAAACATCCAATATTAATTCTTATACAACAAACTTCTTAGGTAATCTAATTCATTTTGCGTATCTTTATACAGTATTTTACACATGATGGATATGAGTCCCAAAGTCTGCTCACTTAAACAGAGCATTACTTATAATTTGAGCTGTGGGATGAGTTGTTTAACAAGTTTTTAAAAACCTTCTGGTACATTTAGCTAGTGGTCGACAAATATATTGCCATATGTCTTTCTGTTAGGTCTTAAAAGGGCTAAAAATATGAATTGTCATGTATTAATCACTTTTTTATTGGAACTGGCAGTGCTCACACTTATTAATTTATCCAAAAGTGATTCCGCAAGTAGTGGACACTCGCGTAACGTAAGCATTGACGTACATCCGAGTGAGTTGTGATGGAAGGGCAAAATAAATTTCCCTTCTTCAAGCATTACATCTATCTCTAGCAGCTATGACTCATCCATTCAGCCTTTGGATTTATGAAGATAAGCAGAACTGGGCACTTTGTTGTAATTCTTCAACTATGCTGCTATATTTTTCACATCTTAATCCCTGTTCACGTGTCCAGAAACTCAACAAAAAGAGCATTTTAACTTCAATCGAATGCTGAGTGATTCTGTGCAGCGACTACCAGCTGGAGTGAAGACAGTGGAGCTCTCTAATGTCTCTTGTCATCTACTGTAGATAAAGTTAATCCTCAGAGTGAGCAATTTACAACGTCTCCAAACACATTAATGTACTTGTACTTGTACTGTACTCACTGTGTGGGCACATACGCTCATTTGAAATGGTTTTAAAAGTACAAATATTCCACGTAGTCTCAATTAACATGAGGTCATGAAAACTACACAATAAATGTAATACGTTAGAAAAATGCTGTTTAAAATGGTTTGAGATGGAATATAACATCTGACTGTGCAGGGCTGTTCAATTAGATCTTCAAACCCCTTCACGTAAATGCATTACATAATAGAAATCCGGCTGTGAAAACATTTTATTTGAGGAACCATTTTGAATGAACAACCATTAATCATATTTAGTGTTATTTCCAAGAAAAACGAAACAAGAAAATTCCATTGATTTTTATACGATGTCACCAAAGTTATTATTTATGTTATGAGATTGGAATATTACCTTAGTATATTATATTGACTTCACTCTCAGAACATTTTAAGGTCTACAGCAGCCATTAAAGTACCTCTAAAGTGTCCAGTACTTTAGAGTAGTGATTGGTACTACTAGGGGTATAATAATATATCGTGTCACAATATATCGCAATAGAGAAATGCAACAATATGTATCATTGATAGTAACAATCTGTATCGTGGATAGTTCGCCCAAAACAATAATTACTGTTTAAGGAAACACGTTTTTCGATTTTTTGTGTCAGTACTACATTAAACTACTATAAAGTTGAATATAATGTATAATAATGCAATGGGGGAATATTTATGGGTCCTGATAATGCCAAATGTCTTATGTTAGCAGTAAAAAGTGCCCAACGTGATTTTAAATATATCTAACCAGTGACAAGCATATTCGTATAAAATAATTCTGTATTTTCAGCTTCAGAATCATGAATATGTTTGGTCACCATTGTCCTGTGCGTTGGGTCCAACCAGCACCAAGTCCAACCCTTTTCATTTACACCCACAATTTACACTAATAACGTTCAAATAGAGAATCGGATCGTGAGTATCATGTACATCGAATCGTGACATGAGGGTATTGTTACACGCCTAGATACTACAATTAAATATATAGGTACAAATATGTCCCTTAACTGTCACCGTCCCGGTACCGGGACGCCTAACTTTACTTCACTATATTTCTATTAAATCCTAATCTAATTATGAAAAATTATATATCGTTGGAAAGGTCTAAGACTTCTAAATAGATATTCTACCCCTGTTTTGTGTTACAAATTATGTAGGAAGAGTAACTCATAATTACTTTATGACAAGAGTGCACCTTAAAAAATCTGCATCATAACAGGAGTTTTGACCTTTGTCGCAAAAAGTCGATGCACCCACTTTTAATCATTGAAACTTCTGTTTTTATGCTAAAAGTTCATAATAAAACATATAATTAGTATTTTTCAATCAAAATAAAAAAAATATAGTATAATATTATCCTCTAAAAATGATAATATTTATTAAAATATAATATTATTTTTATCACCTTTTTTATTATATCACATATTTTAGTAGTTATCGAAAATTAGGTATCATTTGAAAGCTTATAAAGTTTTCACTCAGAATTCATTGTGTGAAACCTGTTTTATAATTGAATGTTGCGTTACCATAGAAACGGTACTTATTTTATCAGGCTCCTCGCCTTTTGGGCATCATTGTATTTTATAATTTATGATCAAAAGCTTTTCTAATTTTGACAAAACTGATATTGTCAGAAAGGTCAGAGTCTCAAGGTTCCAAATTTTGAGACAGAATTAATATTTGGACAGAAATGTATTAATTTGTTAAGGCAGAATGTACACAACTAAATTCAATGGAATTCAATAGCACCCGGTGGCTATTTTTGGTACTAAACAAAATCTCATGGGAACTTCAATTTTTGTGATATCAACTTCAAATTTGGAACATAACTTGATAAGATTTATGGCTCTGATTTTATAGTAATTTTAGAGTAAAAAATATTTGTAAAATACATATTTTATATCAAATAAAAAATATATAGTACAGTATATTTGATTTACTGTCAATTTAAACTTCCATAACTTTTTCATACTTTCATTTTTTGAAGTGTTTTCACTTCAGCAATATTCTGCTGAGTGTTTTCTTTAAAACAAGACCAAACTTGGGTATATTACAACAATTTAAGTTTGAATAGTGCATTTTAACCCCCATTCTCAAAAAGGGGAGTGACGGCTAAGGGGTTAAGGGTACTGCCACAGTCAGCTGTTGTGCCTCTAAAGGTACAAGTTTTTTCTGAGAGTGTTGGGGCATAATAGGGAAAGCTGACATTGTTTCAAGCAAACACAATCGAGAGCTTTGCATCTGGAGCACATAAAGGCTCACCTTATCATTGACGAGGAGCTCCATGGGGCTGTTTCCCCACTCTATCAGCACAATCTCATTGGCTTGTCCCGGGACACCATACGAGAACGGGGTTCCGATTCCAGGGCTGGCGCTGGACTTGAGCCACATGCACACAGTGAAGGCATACATCTCTGGCAGACTCTTCTTTATGCGGCCGTACAGGTAGTTGGTGCGCAGAGGCAAAGACACCTTAAAGTCCTCGGGAGATTTGAATGCATTGTTACCTTTGGAGAAAATCGAGAGAAAGGTTTGCATCGAAGGACAGGAAGAAGATGCAAAGTGCTAATTTGATTTCAGCAAATTGAATTTGGGTTATGCTTTTAAGGTTCGATTAATGAAATGAGTGATCCACACAGGCTCATGCAATTATCTTATTATGAAATGAAATGTAAGGTGAAAGATGCTGATGATGCATTGCCGCTAATCATTCGTTAATCGTGCAAATGTGCTAGCGCCGCTCTGAATTCTGAATACAGCAGGACGATGTGTCCATCCAATGCTAACAGATGGGGCCTGCATAAATCCCACATCCAAAAAGGCCAACAGATGATTGTAAATAGCAAGTTCATTTATATGCAGATATTCTTCCACCAAATAAAAATGCCACAGCCAACAAAATCTGCTTCAGTGTTACCTTTGTTTCATCCCACAACATTTTCTGCATGGAAAATGGCCCAAATGCAGCGAGCCATCGGTTAAAGCTTTCCCTTGACGCCGTGTCGAGTGCTGGTCAAGTGTTCAAAGTTTCTACGTTGACCTTTCAAAGTGCAGCCACTGATTTCCAAGCACTGTGCCTATTTCTAAATGAATCTCAGAAATATTTATTTGAACTACAGTAAAAAAGTTTGGCTACACTCTAAAAAACGATTCGTTGGCCGAACAACCATTACTTATAAAAGTAATTGGATCAAACATAAAACGTTTCAACGTTTACTTAACATATATAGTGTGTGTAACACAAAAACATAAGTTACTAGGTGCACTTAAATGTATGTATGAATAAAATGAAAAATACATAAGGCATGTCAACTTGCGTCAAAATTAAGTAAATCTAGCATATCATTTTAAGTACTATATGAGCCACGTGATATGCAATTTCCCGTCATATTTTTTAACTTGGAATAATTTTACATAAAATAAACTTAAATATTTTAGTTCACGTGACATTCTTTACTTAAAAATATATGTAACGTGATGCATACATTTTTAAGTAAAGAATGTTGCGTGAACTCAAATAATTAAGTACATATAACAAAGATTTTCTTGTTAATTTTAAGTAAAATTATTCCAAGTTGGGATTACTTAAAAAGTATGATGCAAAAATGGTGCATATATATTTTAAGTAAATCCAACACATCATTTTTTTGAGTGTAGAGTAAGATTTTGGATTTTTTTAGATTTAGATTTACATTATTACACAAATATACAGTATTTCTATTACAATTAAAATTCTAGAATGATTTCTGAAAGATCATGTGACACTGAAGACTGGAGTAATGATGCTGAAAATGCACTTTGATCACAGGAATAAATGACATTTTAGCATGCATTACAATAAAAAAAAGTTATTTAAAAAATTTAGTAATAATTATACTGTTTTTACTGCATTTTTTTTTATCAAATAATTGCTGCTTTGGTGAGAACAAGAGATGTCTTTCAAAAAAGTACTGCTGACCTCTATGTATTGTTTGTTTTATTGTTTTATTTTCAATACTTTATAGTTTACTGTCATGCGATGTTTATTAAGTATGCTTTCCATTCAAGGACTGCTTTTGTTCTGTGATATATCAAAACAATTGACATGGACTGTTTTCTCTTCCAAGCTCAAATGCATATTTTCATGCTCTCTTTTTTTTATAAGCTCGTTGACTTTCGGTGACACTTTCTGCAATATTTTTTTTTCATGTGGAGTTCAAAGTTTGCGTATTGAGCGTGAAAGGTTTTACGACTAGTGTTCCTATCTCATACTGACGATAAAAACAAACATTTGAACTGGTTGGCTAGCATATCAGTAAGATGAATCCCGTCTCATTTGACTTGACGGATTGAATAATTCATCAGTGAGAATGCCGTACTTTTCTCCAACTCGGTGATCCTCTCCAGCAGTGAGTTGAGGGTGTTCTCGGTGCGCTGGCGGTGTGCGGTCGTCTCGTTGTACAGCTGGCTCTTCTCGTCCTCGAGTTCGGCCACTCTGGCCAGCAGCTGGCTCTCCAGGTCACTCAGACGCCGCTTTAGCAGGTCTCGCAGCTCGCTGGGAAATGGTCCACCTGATGTGTTGGTACGCAGCTGCTGCTGCAGGATAATGGAAACCAAAATGTTCATCTGCTTCAATTTGCAAATGGCTTATTCTGTTGTAGCCAAAAATCCTTGCAAAAATTAAATTGCTGGGGATTTGTGAGATTCTGAATTAGTGGTGGATGCCTTAATTGACTCTCACATCGTACACTGTAAAAAAATATTGATGGTTTAACTTAAAAAAAAGTAAGTAACCTGGTTGCTTTCAAATTTTAAGTTGATTGAACTGGAAAAAGTGAGTTAATACAATGAAGGAGATTAATTTAACCATCAGAAACTCAAAATTATATGTTATGTCAACTAAATAAATTATTTAAGTTGATTTGGCAAAAGAAAAAATGTTGTGATTACTACAATGTAAAAAAATATTGTTGGTTTAACTTAAAAAAGTAAGTAACCTGGGTTGCCTTAAAATTTTAAGTTGATTGAACTGGAAAAAGTGAGTTAATACAATGAAGTAGATTAATTTAACCATCAGAAACTCAAAATAGTAAGTTATCTCAACTAAATAAATTATCATAAAGTTGATTTGACAAAAGAAAATATGTTGTGATAACAAATCTTAAAAATATTTTTTTTACAGTTAGGTAAGTCCATAGTCCACAACGTTGCTAATTGTTTTATTGGTCCGTTTTTTACAATAGGTGTCTTAAAGGACTGTGGGCTCACATGGGTCACACTTTGGTGTCCTTAACTACTGTGTATTCAAATAAATGGTCACTTTTAGTATACTACTATTATGTATTACTTTATTATGTACTCACATCAAATAAAATAAAAATAAGTGTTAGGCACAATGTGCTGATACTGCGTTCACGTTCATGTGGGACATGACCTGGGTAAGATTAGGCACAGAATTGGGTTTGTTAAAGGATGGGGTAACAGATAAGAAAAGTGTCATTTAACGATTAAAGCAATTCTTAATATAAAGTGGGTCCGTTTTACAAGTTTAATAAGTGTTTTGAGTGATATATGTAAAATCATTGTGTTTCATGTCGAGTTAACAAGGTGGAAACTAGTATTCCATTTGACCCAATGACCCTGTATGAAATTTTCTTTTTGATTTTTGAATATAGTAGCTTATAAGTGGTAATAAGTAATTTATATCAACTTGCCTATTCACAGAAGTGGTTTGTCATTTGAGTGACACCAAAATCCCCCAATTGTTTTGTCAAGTGGTGCATTTAATTAAGCAATTATGTGTATACTTTCCTGTATTTTGTATGCAAAAATACGCATTCTATCGCGAGTCTATAAAAAAGACTAAGTTCAAATCAGTGTATTTACGTGTATTTAGTAACAGCTTTCCATAGAGATCATTATTAATGCTTAATTAAAAGGAAAAAGATAACGTGAATTAAAATAGGAAAAGCCCCTCCCTCTACATAACATGGCTCATTTGACCTTGTACTGACAAATCATGCATCCCTAATAAGCAAGAGTCGAGACCAAATTTCACAGATCATTACAGCTCCATTTTCCACTCAAATAGCTCTTAAATGTCCATTTATCCCTCATAAGCATAAACTCTCACCTCCAGGTTGCCCAGTCGGTCTTTCAGGCTCTGCATGGTCTTTCCCAGCTGCTCCACGGTCTCGGTGGGGTCACGCGGCAGATCGCCCATCGTGTTTTTACTATAATCCTTCCTGCGCGCGCTGCCTCGCGACTTGGCTTCAGCCTCGCAGCGCGCGAGTTTGGAGTTGAGCTCTTTGATGGTGCCCTGCTGACTGACGATAGTTTCCTTCTGCTGCAGGATGGTCTCCCGAAGTTGGATGATAGTATTCCGTAACTCTTCCTCCTGCGGACTGGTGCTTTGGACCCGGTTGGTCGTTTCAACCGGGCAACTGAGGTCGGCGCCCGCGGGCACTGCAGTGCACACGAAGCGGCTTCCTTTCGCGCCAGCCGCTTCCCCGCTCCCTGACGCGTATACAAGCAGCAGTGCCACGAAGATAACTCTCATTACGGCCGTTTCTCTCTTCAAAACGCAAAAGAAACAATAGTCAATTTAGTTTGGACTAAAAATGACGTTGAGTGTCAACAGAACGCGAATTCCAAAATAGAACCAGATCTTTGAAAATAGATTCGAGTGTTCTTTAAATAAAATAAAAACTTAGAGTTCCACGACACGCTCACAAAAATCACTCAAAAACAAATCTAAAACGAAACAACAGATATTTTCTGTAACTTGCCTGAAAACCCAAAGCTTTTCCAATAAAAAAAGCGAGTGCGCGCGCTTCTGCTCTCTTCACACAGTCAGTGAGTATGTTAAACAAACTGTTGGAGTCCTTCTTTACAGACGCGTAACTGTCACTTTAACAAAATACCACTCAAAAAAGCCAAAAACAACTGATCCTCTCTGTCCAAATGAAGAGCGATTTCCAGAGGATTCTGCCGTTAAATGCGTGAACTCTCTTCACACAGTGGTGCTGAACGGACAGCGGCGCTTTAACGGATTAATATAGAGACGCCGGCGCGCGCAGTTTGGCTCCGCTGGAGGAGCGCGCGGATTGACTGAGCTTCATTTACGTCACTTACTCGCGCTCGATGCGAGTCACGCTTGTAAATTATATTGTCGTAGCTTTTTTTCCTTCTTTCTTCTGACCTTCCTTGAATGTAGGGTTGAATAAACAGTGAGTTAATAAGTTATGTCAAAGGTCGATGACATTGGATACATAATCTCCACGGAGCGTCCCCTTTTTTCACATTAGGAGACATAATACAAGAGAGTATTTGGTCAAGGTATTCGGATAGTTTCATTAAGGAGAACAAACATGTGACTTTGGATCACTCCAGTGGCTTTTTCCATGTAAGATTTGCTCAGCTGTCATGTTTCTTATAAATGTTATGAAGACGTTTTCCTTTAATATTTATTTTTTATCAGGCTATAGGTTTCTACCTAAGTTCTGGCATTTCTGAATGGGCTAAGGCTGAGATTTAGTGAGTTTGAAGTGAATGTATTTGATGAAGGTATGTGCGGAGAGCATTCAACCCGATATTATTATGTTATTTTCGAGAGGCTTTTGCGTCATCATCTTCCTTCTTGTTACTCCAGTCCAAAGTACAGTTGTTGTTCTCTAATTTGATGTAAGCTCTCTATTTGTTGATTATAACATACACTTATTGTGAAATATGCTTTTTGTATATATTTTTTATGGATTTACATTTATTAATACAATTTTTAATTTAGTATGTTGATTTTTTTCCATGTGACTCCTTAAATTAAGATGGCTCCTGCACTAAGCATTGTAAACTTGAGATTGACCCTTTTTTCAGTAAAGTATTGATTTTATCTCACACTTGATGACTTATTCTTTGGTAGAGTGTGCAGACTCTCTTGAAGTGTTTGGCTATTGTGTAATGTTTTTTTTTCTACGCATGTAATTTGGACTAGTTTGAAGGCGAAGTGAGTTCCTGACTATTCATTAACTGCAATCCAATAATTGCTTTCTAGGCAATTTAACCCTCATGACTGTTGAGATAACGTTCTTTATCTCATGTTTGGGTCCAGAGGCACTTTTATGAAAGCTTGTTTTCGCCACAGAATGAAAAATAAAATTTCACGCAATTCTGACTTTATATCTCGCAATTATTAAGTCAGAATTGCGAGATATAAAGTCAGAATTAACAGAAATAAAGTCATATTTGCGTGTTATAAAGTCAGAATTGATTGAAATAGTCAGAAATGCAAGATAATATGCAAGATAAAGGCACCCAATAATAACTCATGTATGTAAACATACAAATGCATGTGAAATATTAATGAATCCTCGAGCAGCTTTATGTGTTTCTGCTTCCAAGACAATAATTGTGAAGACGAAGAGCTCTTCCTCAGTTTTGATTGAATTGATTAGAATTGATTAATTGATTGATATAAAGTCGCAATTGTGTGTTATAAAGTCAGAAATGCTTGATATAAATTCGAAATTGCGTGTTGTAAAGTCAGAATTGTGAGATATAAACTCGCAATTGTGAGAAAAAAGTCAGAATTGTGAGAAAAAGTCTCAATTCTGTCTTTTTTCTCGCAATTGCGACTATTTCTCAGAATTGCGACTTTATATCTCAAAATTGCAACTTTATTTCTCAGAATTGCGACTTTTTATATCTCGCAATTGCGACTTTATTTCTCAAAATTGCGAATTTATATCTTGCAATTGCGACTTTATTTGTCAGATTGTAACTTTATATCTCATAATTGCGACTTTATTTCTCAGAATGCGACTATCTCGCAATTGCGACTTTATTTGTCAGATTGTAACTTTATATCTCATAATTGCGACTTTATTTCTCAGATTGCGACATTATATCTCACAATTGCGACTTTATTTCTCAGATTGCGACTATATCTCCTAATTGCGACTTTATTTCTCAGATTGCGACATTATATCTCACATTTGCGACTTTATTTCTCAGATTGTAACTTTATATCTCATAATTGCGACTTTATTTCTCAGATTGCGACATTATATATCACAATTGCAACTTTATTTCTCAGATTGCGACTTTATATCTCGTAATTTCGACTTTTTTCTCAGATTGCAAGTCTCAATTCTGTCTTTTTTCTCGCAATTGCGACTATCTCTCAGAATTGCGACTTTATATCTCACAATTGCGAGTTTATTTCTCAGAATTGCGACTATATTTTGCAATTGCGACTTTATTTCTCAGATTGTAACTTTATATCTCATAATTGCGACTTTATTTCTCAGATTGCGACATTATATCTCACAATTGCGACTTTATTTCTCAGATTGCGACTATATCTCACAATTGCGACTTTATTTCTCAGATTGTAACTTTATATCTCATAATTGCGACTTTATTTCTCAGATTGCGACATTATATCTCGTAATTTCGACTTTTTTCTCAGATTGCAAGTCTCAATTCTGTCTTTTTTCTCGCAATTGCGACTATCTCTCAGAATTGCGACTTTATATCTCACAATTGCGAGTTTATTTCTCAGAATTGCGACTATATTTTGCAATTGCGACTTTATTTCTCAGATTGTAACTTTATATCTCATAATTGCGACTTTATTTCTCAGATTGCGACATTATATCTCACAATTGCGACTTTATTTTTCAGATTGCGACTATATCTCCTAATTGCGACTTTATTTCTCAGATTGTAACTTTATATCTCATAATTGCGACTTTATTTCTCAGATTGCGACATTATATCTCACAATTGCAACTTTATTTCTCAGATTGCGACTTTATATCTCGTAATTTCGACTTTTTTCTCAGATTGCAAGTCTCAATTCTGTCTTTTTTCTCGCAATTGCGACTATCTCTCAGAATTGCGACTTTATATCTCACAATTGCGAGTTTATTTCTCAGAATTGCGACTATATTTTGCAATTGCGACTTTATTTCTCAGATTGTAACTTTATATCTCATAATTGCGACTTTATTTCTCAGAATGCGACTATATCTCGCAATTGCGACTTTATTTAGATTGTAACTTTATATCTCACAATTGCGAGTTTATTTCTCAGAATTGCGACATTATATCTCACAATTGCAACTTTATTTCTCAGATTGCGACTTTATATCTCGTAATTGCGACTTTTTTCTCAGAATTGCGACATTATATCTCGGAATTGCAACTTTATTTCTCACATTGCGACTATATCTCACAATTGCGACTTTATTTCTCTGAATTGCGACTTTATATCTCGCAATTGCGACTTTATTTCTCACAATTCTGACCTCATATCTCACAATTGTGAAATAAAAAGTCGCAATAATTTTTTCTTTGTTTTATTTAATGGCGGAAAAGCTTCCATACACTTTTGATACTTCTCTATTTACAGTAAGTCAACAAAAAAATGACATAAGTTATGAAAACATGTTAAAATAAGTTAAGCAATTTTCTACCTTTTTTTAAAGTTATACAAGATTCAACTCATTTTTCAATTCAAGTCAGTTTAATGCAATTTAATGAATTAATCTATTTGTTGTAAATCAACTTTTAAAGCGATTCTCCCCAGCTGACAAATGATAGAAACATTGGCAGCCAATCAGAGTCCATCCTGCTTTGAGTAGCTGGAGCATTTAAAGAGGAAGGCAACACAATTGCAGCTCTTGCTTAGAATAAAAAAAAACAAAACTTTTGTGTTTGGTGAAGAAAACATATCAAAGCTTTAGGACGTCATGAGGTTTAGGATGAACTTCCATTTGAAGTGTACACCTTTTCGGGGGCGATGCATTGAGATCCTTTGGAAACTTTTGTCGCTCCTTACGTACGTCTTGTTTTCTTCACACCTAGTTTATATGTGGCCATTGTCTTCCTCCTGCGGCCTCAGTGGCAGAGAGTTAATGGTCTGTTGCTGGCAGTAATACTGTGAGGGGCGGCTGGGGTCACAGGTTTGGTGACAGTTTCTGTGTTAGTTTAGACGCACGCAGCGGTAGGCTGTCACCTCTCATGCGACTCCACCCAAATTGGAAAACACATTTGTGTTTCTCTCTGGTTTTCTGATGCAGGTGGCTGCAGTGAGCTTTGTATTCAGCACAGCTTATTCTCCATGGCCCCAAAAAAGGACATAAAGTCTTTTAGTCTGTGCACCAATTAATTGTAATTCATGTGTAGGAATTAGCCCCAATGGCACAGCTTAGCATCAATATATTATATTTCCCCAACTCAGTTCTGTTTAGAAATTTACTGTTTACATTTCTCTATTATTCCTTAATGATGAAATTATGGATCATTTAAACTTAAAAAATTAAAGTTCTTTATTAGCATAGAAACTTTAACATCCACGGACCTTTTCATTTCTCAAGTGAGTCTTTAGATTTTTAAAATGTTATTTACACTAAGAAAAAACAATTTTTTTTTCAAGAACTGGTCACTAAATGGTTCTTTGGGGAACCAAAAAAACATGCTCTTCTATGGTGTCACTATGAAAACCTTCTGAAACATTTATTTTTAAAAGTGTATTCACCCTCAAGTTATTGTAAACCTTTTTTTTTTCCTTTTTTTTTTTGCCGACTGAAAGCCTCGGCCACCCTCATGTTGTCAAAACCTGCTGGCTTTCATCCTTCTGTGCACAAACCAATATATTTATCAGAAAAAACTATCCCAAAATGTGCTCCTCCACAGCTCTTAGATTTCATTCATGTTGGTCCTTCACGGAGACTGCAATTTTCAGCTAAATCTAATGTTTGCTTGATCAGCCTACAATATTTAAAAAAAAAAAAAAAAAAAAAAAAAAGCTCGTAGCATCTAAAGCTCTGGAAAAGCGGCCCTACGGACGTCCATCTGACATCACATCTGCGGCGTGTCATAAAAGAGCTCTGTTGTGTCGCGTGCGCATTGTCACGACCTATGACGATCAGCGCTCTGCCTCACATGTGTGTGACTCAGGACTCAGAGCTGACACAGATGAACAACGTGCTGATGCTTTGTCATTTATTTTACAGCAGAATTATACATCCCCTTGAGCAAAAATCATCCAAACTCTGACAGGTAGGCATGAGCTCCTGTTGGTTGCCTTTTTCTTTGCCAGTCATCTTTCCCCTGGCAGCTGAAA